TTTTATTTTTCATAATCATACATCTTGATGTCGAGATGATCAATTAGAGGTTTTTTCAACATTAAAACAATCTTTTCCAATAGATTTTTGAGGTGTATATGTAATTCTATATTTTAAAGTTGCAACCTTATATAAACTTTTTCTTATGAATAATCGTATGGCTAATTCTCTTTTTAAATTTGAACCATTAAGCCCACTCAAAGCCTAAAAACCCTGGAAACACAGACTTGGGTAACTTATAAGAAGTCAAATGGACACTTCTAACAAAACAAACAACTCAGGCTTGTGGACCAAAGTGCACTGAGGACAAATAGGGCAAAGTCCCTCTTTGCATAAAAGGACATTTAAAAGATGGGTTATTCCAACTCACGCTTGTGTGTGTATGATGAATGTTTTGAAATTTGTTTTTCTTTTTAAAGGAAGCGACTTGATTACATTTTTGACGAGATTACTGATATTTGTGGGCCCTAAGAATATTGTGGAAACATGTTTATAGAGAAGCCAATACCGATGCTGACACAGGGAGTTAATCCAACCAAAATTTCCCCCTTAAGCCCCTCTCTTTCCCTCGTTTTTTTGTGACACTCTTATAACACCTTCTCACGAGTACTATAATTTCTTTAATTATATCATCTGCTGACTTTAAATAGGTGGTATATGGCTTTGACGGCAATAATTTTAATAAATCATAAATATGGATACAAAAAGTTCCCAAGTAAACCATGCACCTCTGTTTTTAGGGGTGGCAACAGATCAGGTCAAGTCCGAGTTTGGCCGGACCCGGATCCGACCCGGAAAAATGATATGGGACCCCGATCCAAAAATATAGTGTGGGACCCGAACGTAGACCAGACCCAATAACTAAAATATCTATATATTTAATTAGATTTCATATATTGGGACCAGACCAGACCCGGACCCGACCTGCCTAGTCCAATTTTTTGACCTATACCTGGGTCTACCCCTCGGGTCCCGGATCAGGTCTGGGACCATTGCTACCCTTGCAGGTTACGAGCTTTAGTCTAACAATATAATGAAGATAACTTGCGTAGCCATGCCGAGAAATTCGCCTTCTACGCTTTCTTTTTTCATTGCATGCAATTGCAAAGTTATCAATCTTTATAAGTTCCTCTATAATTTGCTAAATGTAATGGTAGGTAGAGTGCCCTTCTTTGTCTGAAAAAAGAACAAGAAAATGTAGGTAGTCTTGTTTGAGCTTATGGACACCGATATGTCGTCTAGTAAGTCCAAAGCTTGAAGAACAGTGCTTTCTTCTCTGTGGTTAATCACAAATTACCTATGTTTTGCATCATTAAATATCATTGGAAGATGTAGTTCTAGTGTTGAAAATCTTACAATGGCTTGGAAATCCATATTCAACCTTAATTATAGAATTTAAATATTCAAAAACAGCATAGAACGAGAAAATCTATAAACACTTGAAAATGTTGAAAATAAACAGTTCAGATAACTTGTTATAAAATGCAGTAGTTTTAAAACTTAAAGTCTTTTTTTTTTTTCTTTATCCATACATCTTGAGGTCAAGATGATTAATTGGAAGTTTTCCAACTTCTAAACACTTTTTTCTATTGGATTTTGAGATAGTCCTTACTTCGACAATATAAATTAACAACCTTATACAATTTTTTGTTTTATATAAAAGGGATTGTCTACAAAGAGAACTTTTATCTTTATACAACGAGGTCACAACTATTCCCACTCATTAGATGTCAAATTAGATGGTTTAGAGTGAGTCACGAAGTTCGAGAGATTTTTTTAAAAATCTTTTGTCTAATCAATGACACCCTTACCATCGCCAATTTTGAAATTTACAAGACAAGAATGATTGTAGCCTCTTTGCACAAAAGATAAATAGTCTTTCTATGAACAATCCCGGAAAAGGCTATTTAATATAGACTCCTCACATTAGCATGCAATATGCAAATGAATTTGTCAATTTTAAATCCTTTCCCGCTTTTATTATAACTTTTTTTTATAAGCCAAATCCATCTTTGCACGCTTGTATGAAAATAATGAACTAAAAATTGAAGTTCCATTTAAATTGACACATGTATTTTATACTGAATTGATAAGACCATACACCCCTATTTGAATAGTATACAAAGAGACCATTTATTAATACAATGTCACAATAATTTTTGTCCATCAGATTTCAAATCGGGTCGTTGTGAGATGGTCATATACTAGACTCAAAATTTTAAAAAACAAAATCTCAAACTTTGTGACACATACCAAGCCATCCAATTTAATATCTAATGACTAGGACCAACTGTGATATTCTTGTACCAAAGATAAATGGTTCTCATAGCATACAATCCTTTTGATTAGTGCATCACATTGGATCAAATGTGAACCCAGTGTCTTACTGAAAGCACAAGTATCTAAACTTACTAAATACACAAATATCTTCTACTTATAAGCAGGCTAATCTCTGAAGTTTTTCCAAAAATCCAAACAAGCTAATTTAACATATTCTTTTGTATATAATTTATTTCGGGGCCTAGTTTTATTATCGCTCATTTAGTCACTTGGAAGGGCGTAATTACAAAGAAACATGGTAAAAAGTAGCCCCTTTGGGGGCAGCATATAGTTTGTGATTTAGAGTAGCTTTTCTCTGATAAAAGCCTTTTTCATTTTTTTTTCCCTTAACTATATTTCTAAAATCATTGCTTCATTAGGTAGATAAAAGATTGTTTACTTAGTGAGTGAGATCTTATTTAGAGAAATTTACTTACAGGCTAGAAAAATGATGTGGTATTACTGCATGGTCTATATTTTGGGACATAGTATGTTGAGTTTCTATTTTTTTTTTTTTATTCTCATTTTATTTCCCAAATGATATTCCAACTGTTGAACCACCCAATACTTTTGTTTTCTTTAGGCTGCTTGAAAGTCTTCCAATGGCCCCTTTGCATTAGTATTTTTGAGTTTTGGGCTGTTCAAAGTTGGACTTTTGAACCGCCCAAACATAGGCTTCGAATGATCAGAAGGTTTAACTTTCTAACTTCCCAAATATGTTAGTTGTTTCTTGTTTTGGGCCGTTTGAGAGTTAGACTTTCTAATTGAGTCTAGAATAACAAAAATGAAACTTTCAAAAAAGTAGGACCTGAACATTGTATATCCCAAAATATGCACCGTGCGGTAGTATCACATCTTTTCCATGTCCATACGTAAATTTCCCTATTTTCTAAAATAATATGTAAGTCGGAATATGAAATCGAGACATCTTAAGCCCCATCCATAAAGTCTTTTTACTAGTAATTTCTCAAAATAGATCCCTTTATCTCTTAGAAAGCCATATCTCTGTGCTTGCAAGTGTACAAAGACCTAGAGCATTCATTGAAACGATTCAAAGCTTTGTAGCATGGATTTTAGTCTCTTTCATGAGTTGAATCTAGTGCTTAGATCCAAAGTTAGTTCAACAATGAACTATTAAGCGTTGAGAACCGAAAATATAATTATTAAAAATTTAATTCTTTGATGTTTTCTTTGAATGGAAATTTAAGTCTGAGTTATATGGTCTTAATCACCGAAAACTACAAAACTCATATAGATCATCGTCATTAAAAACCATATATGGTTTTCATCATTTAATTCTTTGAGGTTTTCATCATTGAGAGTAGGTATTTTCAGTCTTCTCTATGATTTGCAAGTACTCAACATATCTCTTCACAAAGTCTATAACAAATGCTGGCTCTCAAAATGTCTATGTATGCCTCATCTAGACCATGTATATGCCAGTAACCAGCAAAAACCAACTGGCCATGGAACATGGGTTTCATGTGAAGCCACCATTCATTGATTCAACAACACTGAGAGTTTATGCATCTAACTTCAATTCTAACAATAGTGTAGCATATCTACAAGAGCATATAGAAAAAGTAAGGATACCAAAATTTTTCCAATAAGTCCAATTGTGTTTAATCTTGTTAATGTAAGTTCATGGGCTACTACTATATATTGTGAACTTGTTGGGATGCAACCTCATGGTTGAAATTTTAAGCCACAAAGGGTGGCAACCCAAACATCAAGGGTTCATTTACTACTTACCCAGAGAATAAGTAAAAAAAAAAAAGAAGCTACCAATTGGGCTACTAATAGACGATCAATTTTCAAGAATCTAGAGCTCTACATTGACCAATAAAATGTACATGGTCACTTTGCTTTAATTATTATGTTATTCAAGAAACTCATACTTGCATTATAAGTTATAGATATGACTTCTAGGGTTGTGTGAAGCCCCTCAAACACCCAAATTTGATTTAATCAAGTCATGGCTGAGGGAATAATATCAAGTAATTGAAAAGTCTTGGTGTGTCAACTGTGCTGAAAAAGTTCCAAAATGGGAATTTAGTGAAGTGCATGTGTTTCAATGAATAAGGAATGCCAATACTTATGTATCTGACAATCAACTAATATTGGTCATCACTTGATTGTACATTCTCAGGGAAAGAAAGAAAATATATATCTGACAATCAACTAATATTGGCCATCACTTGATTGCACATTCTCAGGGAAAGAAAGAAAAATAGATACTATGAGGGCGTGTTTGATAACTAGAAATTAGACACTATGAGGACGTGTTTGATAACTAGAAGCCATGGCTCCCGTTGCTATAGCACTTCCTGTGCTTGTTAACAGGAAGTACTATGTTGTTACAACAGTAACATGGGATTAAATAGGAAAGCTACAGCTTTCATACCTACTGCTGCAGCTTCTGAAACTGATTGAAGCCGCCTCTTCTACCATCAAACACGCCCTAAGAAAAAGTATGAAAAAGCAAGGAACTTTGGAATAATAAAGACATAATCTTTATGTTACACACCAACAACAAAAGAAGATTTTCTATGATGAAAATCAAATTTTCATGCAAAAATATGTAGATAATTATTACCTAACTAGTTCTCTGACTAAGTGTCTGAGATTATCTAACTAGAGTTTGTTACTAAAAAATGCTAAACATGTTTATAAGTCCAAGAATACGTAGAAAGCTTATGAATGAAATCCTAAACAGAGTTTCTTAGAACTTGATCTAAACCAAGTTTCCACCATACAAACTGAAAATTTGTGAATACTTGGAAAGAGTTCATCCAAGTACATTTATTACCACTTATTTGAACTACCAGAGTTGTTGAAACCACCATCAAACAAGGATAGTTATTGGCTACTCAGTTTAAAAAGATGGATAATTCATGGATAGATTCAGATCCAATCAAACCTGTGAGGGCATCCAAAACTATCCAGATTAGGTTTACCCATTGAGACCAATAACCCTTTGCATGAAATGTTCAGTAGCTTACTGTACACAAAAGGGCTAGATATCAATTTGATAAGCCCACACCAAGGAAGTCTATAAACCCAGTATTTTTCTTTTTCATGGCCTCACTTCCCACTTCTTCCTGATCATCTTCCTTACTTTCATTCCCAAAGAACATGTAAGTAAGCTGGCCTTGTGGATTTTGGATCTCATGTCCACTGCGACAAGATAAACCAGAAAAATTGTATGAACATGGCTCTCTTCGACTACTGTTGCCGTAAAACTCCGAATCATAGCTGTAAAACTCCCTCTGATCACTAGGGGCAGCGAAACCACCCCAAGTACATGGAAAAGGCCGCCCTATCGTTGAAAAAGAAGGAGATAATAACCCTACAGTTGCCCTTGTTGAAGAGGGCAGTGCATATCTGACATTGCTGAACTGATCTCGAATTCCCAAACCTGATAATGTCATGTTACAAGGATCAAAAACTGTAGAAATACGATAATAAGGCTGTGAAGTTGTGGTATTGTTGCTCGAATTATCGCTGTGTGTTATGAGATGGTTGCACCTTCTCTTGTTGACAATCCTGGATCTCTCTCTGTGCTTTCGAGCCATGATCACATGCCAATGGTTTTTGACTGCGTTGTCGGTGCGACCGGGAAAGAGGCGAGCGATCAACGCCCACTTGTTACCGTGATGGCGGTGTGCAGAGAGGAGCCGCTCTTCTTCTTCGGGAGTAAATGGCCTCCTGTTGATCCTCGGATCAAGTTGATTGAACCATCTTAACCTGCAACTCTTTCCTAATGGAAAGAAAGTACATCCATCTTCAATCCTCAAAACAAACTTAGGGAAATTGGCCTTACGTTTCACCTAACTTACATCTTGCATCTCTCTCTCTCTCTCTCTAACAACAACTATAGACATGTAATAAATTCAATGGATTTAAGTGTCAAGGATTTCAGTGGTCTGGTTATACCTGATCGACCTTGGAGCTTCTCAGCAATGGAATTCCAGTTTTGGGGGCCATATTGCTCGACCAGCTGACGCAGCTTCTCGTCTTCGCCTGGTCTCCAGTGTCCCCTAGGGCTAGATTTCTGATCGTCAACGCTGCCGGAATTCTCCATCCCTCTCTCTATCTCTCTATTTCTCCCTCTCTCTCAGGGGACAAGGTGCCCAAAAGGATGGATGGGTGGTAATGGACGTGGTGGTAGAGAGAGAAAGAGAGTGGGAAGAAGATGGGAGGTCACTTTTGTTGGTTTTGCACGATACTTTGTGTGTGTTTTAGAGAGAGAGAATGAGAGAGAGAGAGAGAGAGGAGCAGATGTATGTATATAGTTGGGGGCAAAGCAACTGGACTTGCGTGTTGGTTATTGGATCCAAACCTTCTCCATCAAACCCCACCTATCCTGTAACTTCCGTAACAATATTCTTCATTTCATTATCTCTCTCTCTCTCTAAGTCCCCTTTGAAACACAAAAGAAAACACAGTAATTCACTACTCTAACCTCTTCTCTCTCTAAACATAGTGTCCACTCTCTCTATCTCTCTCTAAAAATAGTCTCCACTCTCTCTCTCTCTCTTTGAGCATGAGCCTAAAATATCTGTGTCCCTCTTTTTCTCTCTTAAACGTGCAGGAGTCTAAAAATAGTGTTATCAGAGGGCAGTTTAACTACCCCGATCTTCTCCACTATGTACATTTATACGCTTTTTCTCTTCACCATAAAGTTTACAACGGTCCCCCTTAGTCTTGGCCTTACTTTCTTGCCTCTGCTCCGGGTCCCATAGACTTATCCAAAATTCATGCAGGTATAAAAAATAGTATCCAAAAGCTGTGTTTAGGGGTTGCAATGGACTTGGACCCGAGGATAGACTAGATCTAGGTTTGGGTCGGCGGGTTGCGTCCAAGTCCAAACCTTGGACCCCAACACTATTCGGGTCCTTCTCTGGTAAGGTCCGGGTCTAGATCTGGTAATATTTTTTGGGTCCCAATACATAAAACATATTTAAATATAGTTAAATACATAGATATCATCATTTTTGGGTCGGATCAAGGTCTGAGTCCCACACTATATTTTAGGGTTTCGATCCGGTGAATTTGGGTCTAGGTCTTTGTCCCACATCATTTTTTCACCACCCTTGGTTATATAAACATAGAAGCTATGTGTTTAACGCAAATACAAGTGTCAGAAAATATAAATTACAAAATTAACTTTTAAGCATAATATGTCAGTATACTACATAAAGAAGGAAAAAAGTTTATATAAGGTGTTAACATGTAAAAGTAAGATGCACCTCAAAAACCCACCAAAGAAAGCGTTCCAACGTTGGGAAACTATATCGACGTCGAGATGCATGGATATGATAAAAATACTTCAAGCCCTAAAAATAGTTTTTCTCCTATTTTCATGATTTCAAGTGTTTGTAGATCTAATTGATTAACATTATATTTGGAACTTTAAATTTTATGATCAGGGGTTGAACAAGATTTTTAGGTTATTATAAGATTTCCGACACCAAAACTACATCTTTGGATGGAAATTGATGGTGCATCTTACTTTGATTGTTTAATATAAACACCTTATATAAACTTCACTCTACATGATTTCAGGTGGTATCAAGTACTTTTATTGTGAGATTTCAAGGGAATAAAGGTTAAGTCGGATAAAGTTTCGAATCATCTATGGCTTATGAAGTTGAAAATGTATCGAATAATTTTTTAGTAGCATTTTATTGAATGTAGTTTATTTAAGTGGATTTCTGAAATTTAATCAGCCGACTATTGTTATGTTTTTTTTTTCCATAAAATCGAAGTATCCCCTATAGTCGCAAGACTATGGGGGATAATATGGTTATGGCGGTCATCATCGTCCACTCACCGGTGATGATAGCTCTTCAATAATGAGTCCCCGTCTCTCTCCATAACCACCCAATCCATTGATTGGACGTTGTTGATCCTGATGACCACATGAATTCCTTAGGGTTACGCATATATTCCATTTCCCATTTCCCATTTCCTGCATGGATTCATGCTATATGAGGAGTTTTTGGTCTACAAATGTTCCAGCACTTGGATCTAATCTAAACCCATTTGCTTGAATTAGTTTTAAATTAAAAACATTTTTGAGTCATTAGTGATGTAGAATAGACACACTCTGGGTAGAAAAAAGTTTATATTGGGGGCAATTTTATTTATAGAAATAAGGTTGTGGTGTTCGATAACTTTCATTTATATTATTATTTTTATTTAAAAAATTAGCACTTTTAAAACCGGATCTACCCAGTTAGACCGGTTGAACCGGCTCGTTCACCAATTACTTGAAACCGACCATTGGCCAGAAAGCGGGATCAATTTTTCGAACACTGACTTGCAACCTTATCAGAGTCCTCAACCCTTTTCACCTACTCAAAAAGAACCTTAAAACTTTTGCATTAATGAGTAAATGGAAGGTACAAAGTCCAAAAAGAAACAAACTTGTGTAAAAAGAAGATCAACGAGGGAGAATTCTACTTAGGGCATTATGGGACGCCCCTTTTGAAACCTAATTGAGGAATTCCAAGGAATTCACTGTAGTGGTGGGCTCTTCAAATTTTCAGCTTTACAAATAATGCTCAGTCAAAAGCTGTAATAACTAAGCTCCTCAATGCTAAGAGATTCTAAACCCCACGAAACTCTCTCTCTCTCTCTCTCTTCTAGGAATGTTCTCTCTCTATAAACTTTTAATCTATCACCAAATATAAATGAGACATAATACTAAGCCAAAGATTTCCTACTCCCACAGGCATATACTGTCTGTTTACTCTGTTGTATAAAACACAATCTAGGAATACTTTTAAGACCCCGAATTTTGGGAATGTAACCTCTTCAAACCGTAGACTAATCTCAATATAAATTTTTTTCCAAATTGCACTGTCACTGTCCTTGAACAAATAATGCATCAAGACTGAACAAAGATTTTCCAATTATTGGAAGGTGAGATCTAAGTGTTAGACAACTCAAAATTCAAATTTTTTCTTTTGAAAATGATCATATACTAATCGTTGGCCAATAAAGTTTTATGCTGAATGAGTAAATGTATAGTATGCTCCTGCAGGAGCATAGTATATGAGTGTGTGTCGGTGCAAGTCGTACATTTTACGGAAATGAAGAGAGAGAAAGAGTTAAGCAAAGAACTTGTAGAGAGAGAGTACGAAAATCTATAGGCACACGTATGGTTGAATCTAAGAGATATGCTAAGAACTTGTAGAAAGAGAGTAAGAAAATCTATAGGCACACGTGTGATTGAATCTAAAAATAATTGAATCTACCGATAACAAAGTATTATTAAGAAATTCTGTCTCATTTTCAATTAACCACTTTGCCCCCAAGTCCTTTGACGTGTTGTTAAGATATAGAGGAGATGGATGGTGGGTTTACGTTATGGAGTAAAATAGAATTATAGGAAGCAAAACAAAGACCACCAAAACTTTCTTGTTTGGGTGTCTTAGTTGTCATGTATTAATTTTCAAGGAGTGTAAATGCTACTCCTCTTTTTTTCTATTTGTATTATGTGCACGTATACTATGTTCCTTCGGGCGCATAGTTTACTTCTACTCCCTCGGTCATCAGATGATCTACTGGACAGGTTATTTTCGTTATGAAAATTTGGTAACCACTTATAATCACTAGATGATTATTCTCAAAAAAACAACAAAAAAAATTGAAATTTGAGTACTTAGATCTCGCCTGCTAAAAATTAGATGGTTTTTATTCAATCCTGCATTATTTTTTTCAAGTGCTTAGATGGTACAATAAGAAAAAATTTGTAATTGAGGTTAATCTCCAAAATTTGGAGTCGTGGAACTAATTCTTGGTGGGGTTTGACCCGAGGGAGTAAATAGACAGTATACTCCTGAGGGATTAGAATATTATTTGGCTTCTATTATTAGTGATATGGTAGAGAGTCATCTACTTGATAATATTAAAATGTATAAATAGAGAAGATATGGTTACGAGGGTTTCTACTTTTACCTGTGCACGTTGTTGTCCACCAGCAAAACTGTTGTCTATCAACAAATTTGGCGTCCATCAATCAATTACTTATCTGCAACGGAAAAGACCGTTAGAGAGAAGGTCTTTTCTCTCTCTAAACATTTCAAAAGTCTCTTCCCATTTTCACTGTTTCTCATCACTATCTCAGTTTTCTCCTTTAAGGGCATGGAAATTTTAGTTTGATAATAGGAAGCTGAAACTGGATTCGGGAAGTTTTAGGTTCTTAAAAAATGAGAACATGCAGCTTCCATATACTTTGTCTTTTTAAGGAAGTTCGCCTGTTGTCTTTCTCTTTTTTTTATGCTTCTTAGGTTCTCTCTCTCTCTTACTCTGTTTACCTCTTTTTCCCTCTGACTATGTGTTTCCTCTCTCTAAATTTTCTCTTTAAACCTTACATTTCCTGTGACCAACTCATCCTCAAAACTGGGTCATTCTCTTTTTTTAACTCTTTTCTCTCTAAATGTGTCTTTTCTCTCGAATGTCTTTCTCTCTCTAAATCATCTCTCTAACCATGGTTTTTCTCTCTCTAACCGTGCCTCATCTCTGTATCATCCCCTTTCTCTCTCAAACTCCTTTTTCTCTCAAACTCCTTTCTCTCAAACTCCATTCATTCTCTAATCATCCCCTTTCTCTCTCTAACTCCTTTCTCTCTCAAACTCCATTCATTCTCTAATCATCCCCTTTCTCTTTCAAACTCCTCTTTCTAATGGTATCATTTGTCTCTAATAGTGTCATTTCTCTCTAACCGCGTCTTTTTCCTCTCTAATCGTTTCTTTTTAATCATGTCATTTCTCTATCTAAATATGTATTTTCTCTCTCTATATGAGCATTCCCTCTGTATGCCATCTCTTTCTAATCTGTCCTTTATCTCTCTAACTCCTTTTGCTCTCTCTAAATATGACTTTTATTTGTCATCTAACTCCTTTCTGTAGTTGTCCTTTAACTCCCTGTATCCTCTCTTTAATCATGCCCCCTATGTGTGCTTGTGTATGAGCGCGCACGTGTGCGTGAAGCTATGAAGTAGAATTTCTATGAGATTTTGTTAGATTATTTTGAAGCCTTATCTTTGTATTTAGGAAAAAATTTATATAAGATTGCAACCTTAAAATGTAAAATTCAGGTGCACCTCAAAAATTCAACATAAAAGGTTGTTTTGATGTTGGAAAACCTTCTAATTGTTTATCTCAACATCGAGATGTATAAATATGAAAAGAAAAAAACTTTTCAAGAACAAAAAAAAGTATATCTTGCAACACATTATCTTGGCCATCCATTTTCAAGATTTTCATGTGTTTATAAATATATTTGATTTGAATCAGTTTTAGAGTT